TTCTTAGTCCAACAGCTAAATAATGTCAACAAGTCCTAGGTATAGACTTCCATGGTGTGGCAACAGGGAATATCTGGTACTTGGCTTCTAGAGATGGATGCAGGACATATTATGGCAAGTTCTCCAAAAGAGAAAAAGTGATAGGAACCTTAGTAGAGGAAATCATAAATATTTATGCTGGGAAATAAATAATTTAACTAACTGATTTATAAGCTTAGCTAGGCTGTGGCTATGCTAACCTACTGCAATCTAATCAGTCTATTTTAGAAGTCAAATAAAATTTTCTACAATAAAGACACAAACTTTATACACATTCAAGTCTCCCATTTTCAGAGTAGAAAAATTAGTTTTTTTCACAGTGTGTATGTGCATGAATGCAAGTGAAGAAAAATAACCTCTGTGCATGAAGGGCTTCCCTATGCATTTTATATCTTTTTTTTTCTCATTTAATCTTCACATCTATGCAATAGCTATTGTGTCAAAAATTTTAGATGAGGAAACAAAGGCTCAGAGACAGAAGTAACTTGCTCTAGATGACACAGCAAACTTGTTAGTTAAGGTGAATTGAAAATAGTCAAGTAATTGAAACAACTAATACTAAATGTGAAACCTGTGGAAATTTTGCCTTGTTGGAAAATGAATCAGATTGCAAATATTTTAATTCATGAAGAAAAGCTGTAAGAGCATTTCCAATAAGTAGATTTTGGAACATCAACTACAGCTCTTCCATAGTGTCTTATTAAGTTCAATGAAAAACATTGTGGAGCCTAACCTAACTCATCTTACATTTATTTAACAGGTAAACTTAAACTGTTTATTTGGCATTATATAGCTATACATATTGGGGCTCCAGGATTTTAGATTATTTTTCCTTATTTATAAACTCTGATTATCAGCATAAGAAGACAGCATCTTTCTACAAATTCAGCCAACTTTTCCCAAGGTCTGTATTGGTTGTTAGGTGTCAGATGAGATAACAGTAAGAGTGGCCTCTGATCTTCCAGAATATGATTGCTCGATCATTTGAGAATATATGCATGTATCTTTCTTTCTCAATTGTTTTAATGACTAATAATTCTCTAGATGAACCACTGAGGAATCTGTAGTTGGGAACTGAGAAGGTCTTGTAAGCCACAAGCCACTCTGTGGGGAAAAAATTCTTTCTTAGGGCATCTGCAATTACCCTATATTGGACACCTGATACATTATTGCCACTTTGACTTTTTCTTTTGCATTATAAAAGTAACCATTTATTAGGAAAGTTTAAACACTGTCTAACCTATGACATATATCTGGAATAAAATTGAAAAATGTATATATAACTCCCCTACTAAAACATTTTAGAAGGAATGCTTTTTATTTAGCTTTATATTTCCAGTTTGTTATAATGTCTGACATATACAAAGTTTGGCACTTAAAGTAGTTTAATTGACGTTTAATATGCCTAAGTATTCTGAAGTTTGATCATTATGATGTGTTGTTTCTAAGATGTGTATATATTAAGCACATATTTTATTTTGTAAAAACTAAACAGGTAGATACACTTGAATAATGACTTCAGTTCACCAGTTTGTTTATTTACATAAAGCCAAGTTTATCTAAGTGGGGTTCAAATGGATGTTTGGATTCAGTGATACTGAAAGGTAAATTATGTAACTGGTTTTCTTTTTTGGGCTAGTTTTCAGTTATTACCCAGTGAGTAATACTAGTGGAAGGAGGATTAAGTAAATTATTGCTCTCTTGATGGTTTTTCTTTACTAAAGCAAAGCAGTAGTTCCCAAATGTTGACCATGTAAGATTCAAACACATGAGGTGGTTTTTCACAGTCTCCCACACAGTACACATTCCATATATACTCATTTAAGGATTATTAAATCTGGTCTACAATTATCAATTCACTTTTATTTCCTGAGGCGATTTTACTTGTACTCTATATCCATGTTTGCTTTTAACCTCTATAGCTATACCACATGCCTCTTTTTTTACATGGATTTTGTCTGCCAAATTCAGATCTTAGAGAATCTTTAATGTTTGATTCACATTCCATCGACTTTATGAATACATTTTCATTTTCTCCAGATCAAAGTGATCCCCCACTTTCCTGAAGAGTCTTTGCACATGTAATTAGTGCTAAGTAATTTAGCACTTAGCTTTAGGTAGTTTGGTGATGCCTTCTAATTATATTATGTAATGTTTAAACAAACATATAAAAGGTCTGTGCCTTTGTTTGTATGTACAGTCCTCCATTTTTGTTTATAACACTAGGAGCAGAAAGCATAAAGTTGACTTAATTCATCAGATTCGTTATATGCTGACCTCAGGACCTCTCTTGGATTCAAGTATAAGCCTGATACTCCAGCACTGTTCTGTGTTGGAGAGTCCGCCCCAGGTACCCTCCATACACAAGAGGTATCTTTTACCATTCTGCTTTTAGCCCATGATAAAGAAGAGATAATGACAGTGAACCTAACTTAGTAAATTAGTAAAAGAAATGACAGGAAAGAAGGGACATCACCAATGTGTCATTTTCTTATGAGTTCACTAAGCCTTCTCTACAGGCATTTCCATACCCTGTTCTGCATACTGTTACATAATATCATGTTTTATATACTTACATGCAGTCAATAAATACATGCTTTCTACTGACATACTAAAAATCCTGACTCATAGCGACCCTATAGAACAGAGTAGAACTAACCCATAGGGTTTCCAAGGAGCAGCTGGTGGATTTGAACTGCCAACATTTTGGTTAGCAGCCATAGCTCTTTACCACGGCACCACCAGGGTTCCACTGATACACTACTCTCATTAAATCACTAATCTCTTTGGAGTCTCAAATCAAGTATATATTATATAAGACCACTTAACATCCATCCACTTTAAATTTAAGAGAGCCCTGGTGGTGCAGTGGTTAAGAGCTTGGGTGCTAACCAAAAGGTTGGTAGTTCAAATTCACCAGCCACTCCCTGGAAACTCTATGGGGCAGTTCTACTCTGTCCTATAAGAATGCTATAAGCTGGAACCGACTTAGTGGCAACAAAATAAAGGATGAGAAATATTAAGTGATTTTTTTTCGCAAGGTAAATTTTGAATTCAAATTCTGGTCGTCTGAGTCCTACCTCGTGTTACACTTGTTTCACACTTTCCTTTCCCTTTAATCACTTTATGAACCTTCACAAACATTGTCTCTGAGGGTAGACCGTTTACCTTAAATGAGCTAGAGAGTCTGTGGTAAATTCTCATGAATGTTGGTGTGAGACCTTGACAGAAGACCAACTTCTAATTAAACAGAAAGACATATTTAATTTTTAATACTATTACTTCCTATTATATTATTACTTACTTTTTCAAAGTACATGTTATTCCCCAAGTGTGAGGTCAGGCCAACCTTGATAATCTTCACAGCACCCAATAGTACAGATAAGTTTATAGAAGGTCAGTATATTTAAATGATTTATTGTAATTCAACGCAGTGGTGTAGGTCTATACACTTATTTCAGAAAAATAAAAGCGATATTAAGTATGTGAAGTATTTGTTTTATTTGCAGCCCAAATGCAGAAGAGACTTAAATAAAACTAAGCATATACAGGAAAACAAATAATTATTGGTATAAAATGTAGTGCTCTCCTAAGAGTCCACTGTTATATTTTTGACGTACAGTAGGTTATTGAAGTTAGTAAATGATTTACTATTTCTCCTAACATTATTAGCTATATATTGTACTAAAAGTAAGAACAAACTTTCCAAATTCAAAGTATTGGGTGGGATGGCTAGGCTATACACATGCAGAACTTACATTACCTCTGTGGACTCTTTTTGGTGAGCTGATGAATTGTTTCTGAAAACAACTCTAAAAGATGTATTATATGGAAGATAAGGACATTGAGGAAATCCTACATCTTGTTAAATATATTTTATGTGCATCATTACTGTGTTGTTCTGATTGGGAAGGTAAATAATTATCGAGTGAAATTATCCAGTGACTCCTCTTGTTTACGTTTCAAGAATTCTGAAGTGATATAGGAGAAAATATTATGTTACTTTTAGATTCCAGCAATGTATCCTTCTAAATCTATCTAGATTGGTTACAATGATTTAAAGTGAGATCTTTTAAAGAAAGATATAACATAGAAGAATTAAAGTTTAATATCAAAGTCATCACATTTTCCTTAAAAAAGTTAAATACTATATCATGATAATTGGAAATAAAAAGATTTACCCACTGTACGAAATTCCACTACATTCAAGAATTACTACATTTCTCAAAATCCACATAAATGTCATTACTGCACAGATCAATGTGAAAAGCTTGCTGATCTCAAATAGTTCATATTCCCTTTTCATTCAATTTCAGACAGTCATGGAATAAGTGTTTCACAAATGAAGAAGAAATGAATAAGATTGTGTTGCAAACTTTAAATCACTTTAATTTGTGCCTTCTTTCTCTGATGTATCATGTTAAAGAAGTAATCCTAATAAATATTAAAGAATCTTTACTCAAGATATTTATATCAAGCTCCACTGAACAAAGAGTAAATTGTTTCAGGTGGTGCTTATGGCAATCACTGTCTTACAGATTGCATTGCTCTGTACCAAATACACATAAGCATTTGGAAGATCTTACAAAACATTTAATGTACAAAATCAATATTTGTATATTATTATTTAATGTACAAATCATACCATGTATGAAACCTTTCAGTAAGGTCCAATTATTATTGCAGATCCAAGCATTAGCAGTGAAAATACAAAACATGACAACCAAAACAGTTTCCATAGGGCTTGAGAATAAATTCAGTGTATTCAAGCTTATATCTACCTACCCTTTGTACTAAATTTCAAGCAAAAATAAAAATTCCTACTGATTCATTTTGCCTGTAGACATTCCAATAAGTAGAGGTATAAAAGAGCTAAGTAGAATGGTTATAATGTTGTTTGCAACCAGAAAAGAGTGGCATGAAAGAATATTATGTTAACTGATCTCTAATGATCTGGGGATTACTTGTCTCAGCAAAAATTAAGCCAATTAAAAGACATAGTTCACTGCCTTATTTCCGATAACATTTTCCTATGATTTCCAGTTCCTCTTTATTTTTGTAGATTCATAGTCAACTCTTATGAGCTTCTTCAGTGCATCCTTCATGTCCTTATTCCTCAAGGTGTAGATGAGGGGGTTGAGACTTGGAGTGATGACAGTATAAAAGAGGGTGAAGAACTTGCCCTGGTCTTTGGAGGCACTGTCACCTGGCTGCAGGTACATGTAGATGATAGTTCCATAGAAGATGGACACCACAGTGAGATGAGATCCACAGGTATTAATTGCTTTTCGCTGGCCTGCTTTTGACTTCATTCTCAGCACAGCTCGGGCAATGTAACCATAGGATATAAGAATAAGGAGGAGAGGTATAAGGACAATCATAATGCCTAAACCAAAAACAGACATTTCAACTGCTGTCGTGTCTACACAAGCTATCTTGACCACAGCTGGCAACTCACACAAGAAATGATCCAGAAGGTTGTTTCCACATTTAGGCAAATTCAGTGTGAGTGTACATAATACCACAGAATTGGTCAAACTAATACCCCATACCATGATAATCATCTTGAGACATAAATGTGGGTTCATGATTACTAAATAATGTAAAGGTTTACAAATAGCTGTAAAACGATCGTAGGACATAACAGCCAGGAGAAGGCACTCAATGGAGCCCAACCACATATAAACATAAAGTTGAATGACACAACCTACAAAGCTGATGGTCTTATCAGATCCCCACAGGTTAACTAGCATCTGAGGTACAATGCTGGTGGTGAAACACAGATCTAGGAAAGATAAATTCCTAAGGAAAAAATACATTGGTGTGTGTAGGTGGGAATCCAGGAGAGATGCAAGAATGATGGCTGTGTTGCCCACCAATGTAATTAAATAGAAGATAGCGACAACTCCTGACAGGACCATCTCCAGTTTGGGATGATCAGAGAAGCCAAGCAGAATAAAATCATGTAGAGAACTATAATTATTTTGGTCCATTGTCCTTCAATGCCTAAATCCTAAATTGAGAAGAAAAAGAAGGAGGAGGAGTCAGAAAGAGAAAAAAAAGGAGGAGGAAAAGAAAGAGAGGGAGGAGGAGAAGGAGAAGAAAAAACGATTTGTCAACACAGACTATCTAGGTAATCTAATGAAATACAAAACTAAACAAAGGGAGAGAATTTATGTTAACAATTGAAAGAATAAATGGATAGAAAATATTCCCATCAGGTAATCTGGTATTTCTTGCAGGTTCTTTTATGGTGATGAGCTCATAAATACATTTTTTATCTAGGTGACCTTGGGGAGTTCACATACAAGTAAATTTCAGAGTTTGGAATAGATGTGGTTCCAAAATTATGTGGCCCTATGATTCTCTATTAAGTCAAATTACTTGATATAATGAACATATTCTTTCACTTGGCCAGAGAATTAACCTGTAAATCTATCTATGGCTAATGTCAGAATGAAGTAAGAGTGTTCCTGTTTTTCCATACGTTAGTAAATAGCACCTTTGATCTCCCAGCTTTTTATATAAGAGATCTGGTATTTTTCCTTGTCACCTTCATTTCCCTCATCCTCAGTACCTAACTTATCACTAAACTGGTAAATTTGAAGGCAAAAATACCTGTTAACTATCTTCTGACTTTTTAAAATATCCACCCACTAATGCAAACCACTGTCATCTCTCTTCTAGATTCTGGTAACAATCTTCTACTCTTACATCCAGTCTTATCCCTTTATATTGTTACAAGATTTAATAAGATCATTTCATCTGTGTGCTTAAAAGTCGTCAATGGCTTTCCATTACACTTAAGAAATATTCAGATTGTTTAAAATGGTCCAGATGGACCTGCATGATTTGTTTTCTGTTTGGCCTCATTCTTGTCTCACAAATCACTTTACACATATTCACTACTAGCTTTTTCTCAATTTTTTGACGCGTCAAGCTCATTCCCATCTAAAGTGTATAGAACCCTTCCCCTTCTTCTCTGAGGAACTCATACTATTCTTTAGGCTACCACTTAAATGTTTCTTGCTTAAGAAGAATCTCCTAAATCCACAATCTCTTTTACTTTATGTCTTATATCATGTACAAGGATCTCCTACAGAAAGCCAGTATAGCATGGAGCTTAAGGGCATAGTCAGAGAGCTTATGTTCACGTCTCTGCCGGTTATTTAGCTGGGTGATTCCGGGCAAAATACATAACACTTCAGGGCTCAGGAGTTTCATCTCTAAACACCGGACAATAAAAATACATAGTGTTGGGGTGAAGATTGATTAATATATATGAAGTGCTTAGAACAATGTTTGTTACATGATGCATCTCAAAAGTCATTAATTACCAGAATTTATTATAAGAAGCAATTATAATCATGTACCATGTAGGTAAATGTTTGTTTATCCTTCCCCTTGTATTGCTCTATGAGCTTTGAAAGGAGACACTATGGCTAGTGCTATTCACTGTATCCCTAACCCCTAAAGCAGCACCCCCTCGAATATATATAATTTTTGACTAAATGAAAAGTTAGGTCACACTATGAATTATGATGAAAAATCACTTAATGCTATTAGTTACCATTTTCCTTACAGTAAAAATTTAGGCTGGCTGCTTGTAAAGTTACCTGAATAGAATGATAGACGGTTATGGATTAATGGAGAAGATTGTGGTTTTATCTATGTAGTAACAAATAACCAGTTTATTCAGTTCGATAAAACATAATTTAAAATATTTGTCTCTATTTGAAGGACTAATAAGTTCAGCATTCTTTAGTAGTGTGATACAGACAAGCTTCTTAAGACACACATTGACATATCTGTGCTGCCAAACTTTTAACAATTGAACAGATTATCAATAGTCCACCTCAGTTTCCTATTACTGAGTACAGAAAGATTTCACTTCCTACCATCTGAAGCAAAAATAACATCTAGAAAGTTTCTGTTAAAAAATAACTGAGATGTGGGGTTGTTAACCAATGTCATAAAACAGCATGTGTGTTACTGTTACATGAGAAACTATCTGTTCTGTAAGCCTTCACCTGAAGTACAATAAAATATTTTTTAAAAAAATAAATAAATAACTGAGAGAAAGTATTTTATACAAAAATAATAAGTATCAAACTGGTGTGAGCATAGATAAAATGAAAAAAGTGGTTTTTGCTTGTTATGCCATTTCAAGTATATTTCTTCAATATTATGAAGAATTTACTTCAAACTGTGGCCATAATTCAATAGTGTACACATTTACCAGACTAACTGAATATACTGGTCGATATAGTCATTTCAAGACAGACTTTGGGTGAATCCCTCAGAATTTGTTTTCCAAGAATAATGATTTGAGCCTGGTTTCTGCCATTGACCAAGATGGGCCGAAAGGAAAAAATCTAAGTCTTCGAAATGTATCAGAAGCTGTCACACACCATAGAGTTCTATAATGTCTGAGCAGGGGGATGAGTAATTGGTATTTATTTCAGTACACATATTGGTGTATGTTATTGTGCCATCTTCTGAATAAAACATGAAAATTATATTAAATTTAATAAATTGTATTAAAATCTTGTATTTAAATTAAAACTTTAAGTTTAAATTATATAAAATTTTAATTCAGTTAAAATTACATGAATGCAAAAATAAAAATTCTTTTAAAATTAAACTCCATTCCATGCTGTTAACTATTTTCATGGTTGAATATTTTCATTATCACTATAGTCCCCAAAGATTAAGTCAGAAAGGGTTAAAAATCTTGCTATTAACATTAGGAGTCTGCAAATAACTTTCCATGTACATGAGATTCAGAAACAAATCCAAAATACCTGAGTCCTTCCTAGCTTCACAGTCTTCATTAATAAAGTACAATATTTCAGTTCTTCTTTTCAATTTAATCCACAGTCTTTCTCTCTTATTTCTGCTGAATCAAAATGTCTGAAATCATAAATAAAGAAATAGCTTCATGTCCTCCTTTGATAATAAAGAATAACTTTCATCTTTCCTTCATAAAACAGAAAGGAAGATTTTTCTGCAGAGATTTACAAGTATTTAATCTGAGACTTCTGACAGAAAACCAAAAGAATTAGCCCATACAAGTCTAACTAAGCTTTCTTTATTCTACCTCCAACAAAGTGTTTTACCAACTCAGGCACGCTATTTTTTAAGAGCTGTTAAAGATCTACATTACTGTGCTCCAGAGTGAGTTCCCTTGATATCTATCTACTTCTCCACCTGTGTTGAGCCCACTCTGAAGTGAACAGATCCTGGTTCAGCATTTGCTCTCCAGGCTACAGTTCTCTTGTGTATTCCCTGCAGTGCCACCGCGAATTCTGCTGTTCTCCTGACCTGTGTTAAGTAACGGACAGATTCTTGACAGGACTCCTCCTTCTTGAACATGTGACTTCAGATAAGAGGATGAAGCTGTCAGAAGTCTCACTATTTTAAACGAACTTGCAAATACTAGGTCTTAATCCTAGAGAAACATTACACAAAGTAATCAGATGATTCTGAGCCTCTTCTGGGTTGACTAGAACCACCAATCTTTCTGTTACCCAACTTGTTAACCATTTGCACCACCCAGGGACTCCATTTCAGAATAAGAATTGAATAAAATTTCCCAAAATTGCCTGGAAATTCAGATCATCAAGAAAGATTAGCTAACCCACCCAGGACTGCATCTAATTGACTTTGCTGGAGTAAAGTGCTATAAAAAAAGCCAGCTGATGAAGCATTTGGAGAATTAGACTATCTCCTGATATTTCATAAGGACAAATTTAGTGAATGCAAAACTTATTCAATATGAAGGAAAACTACAGGGCAGAGAAATAAGAAAAATAAATTTAAAAAAAAATTTTTTGTCTAGGTGGTAAATTGCATTGCAAATAACAAAATTTGCTGTAAAATAATGTGCAATTCCAACACTCAAATTTTAACATGTACTGACTATAAGATAATCATACTATTAATAATATGTGTCATGGATTGAATTATTGATACACCAAAAATGTGTGTATCAATTTGGCTAGGCCATGATTCCCAGTATTGTGTGGTTGTCCTCCAGTTTGTGATTGTAATTGTAATTTTGCGTTAAACAAGATTATGGTGGGATTGTAACACCCTTACTAAGGTCACATCCCCGATCCAATGTAAAGGGAGTTTCCCTGGGTTGTGGCCTGCACCACCTTTTATCTCTCAAAAGGTAAAAAGGAAAGGGAAGTAAGCAGAGGGTTGGGGACCTTGTACTACCAAGAAAGCAGTGCCGGGAGCAGAGCATGTCCTTTGGACCCAAGGTCCCTACGTGGAGAAGCTCCTAGTCTGGGACAAGATTGATGAGAAAGCTTGCCCAAGGAGCCAAAGCCTTGAATTTGGACTTCAAGCCTACTAGACTATGAGAAAATAAATTTCTCTTCATTAAAGTCATGCACTTGTGGTATTTCTGTTACAGCAGCACTAGATGACTAAGACAGTACACATACTGATTTTGGAAATAAATGTGCTCTGAGCAGATATGTAAACAAGGTACCTCTAATATTTATCTCTGACCTCCAAGCTCTGACACCCAAGGTGTTTCTTGTTTGCGAAAGAGAAGATATTCAATCTCCAAATCTCTAAACAGTAAATTGAAGATCACAAGAAATTTATATTTTTAATCAGTGCTAACATGTCTTTGTCTTGATGACAACCATTGGTGATTCAAAGACTTTAGTGCCTATGACAATCAGTTTGCTAGTGACTGAGAGGTCACTATTTGAACCCTAGGTCCTGGAGCAAGTGTATGCTCTGACGATTTTTATGAGTTAGTTTATAGTCATTAAGTTACAATATGTTCCCTGAATTAAAATTATATGCCACCAGTAATTATTTTAGTATAATTCATAAGCACAAATTGACTGCCTCATGATATATGTTTAAACGTGGATGACTTCTCATCACTAAACAACAAAACAATTTTAATTTTCTGCTTCTTTATGACAGTAATCATTATATTCTAAATTTGAGAGAGAGTATGGTGTGA